AAATTATTTTTATTACTATATGGCAGAGACAAGAGAGTATCGTGCAAACTTCTCTAAATCTAGCGTCGTGTAAATTTCTCTAAGTTTAAAATTTAAGTTTATATTTAGTACGAAGGTTTAGTAAATTTTAACTAACGGTAAACGCGCGGTAAAACGGCACATGTAATGAACCCCGATATGCTCGCCGTCTCGCGTTATCACGTGCCTTTGCGGGAGAAGGCTTCGGAGAGAGAGAGCTTCTCAGAGGCCTCGTCGATTCTCGCGCGGCGACTCTTGCTCGACCTTTTTTCCGCAAACTTCCGAAGGTCATTACGAGGTTCCTGCGAGAACGCTCGGGACTCGTAAAGCCCCGTCGTAAAAATCGCCAAAATACACGCACCTTACATGGTAGCCTCGTGTAGGCGGGTGTCATATCCCCGCAAAATCATTGCCACTAAAAATCAGGGGTTTCCGCAGCAAATTTATAACGGTCGTCCAACGCGGACGGCGCGTCGTGTGTGTGCCCGTCAAAGGTGTTGAATATTTCTCGCTGTAAAAGAAGCAACATGCTGCTTATTAAAACTAAAACTTGGGAATATAGTAGCGGATTCCGATTCATTTACGGAAAGAAAAGAGAAAAAACGTTTCCGCCGTTCAGAGAAAATTTTTGAAATTTCCAAGATCTTTACTAAATCTATTCTACTCTAATTATTATAAGTCGTTTCTAATAGCAATTATTGCCAATTAAATAAGTAATTTAACAGTTAGTTTATAATTGGCAACATTTTTAATTCAAACATTTTCGTTTCGGAAAAAAAAAAAAAAAATAAGAAAAAGTATGTACGTTCTGATATTCATGGATTGCGCTTATTCAATTTTTGATTCTACTGGAATTTCGGCAAGTTTCTCAATCGACAATGCGCATCGACTTTGATGGAAATCCGTTGCTTTTAGAAAATGCGAGCGGCAACAAAGAGAGCGCGGATGCACGTGGAACTCGAGGATCGGTCGGGACTTTCCCCGGAGCAAATATGTTTTCGCGGTAAATTTGGCCGAGTAAATGCGACGTCGTGGGGCACCCTTAGCTTTATTAGCTTCCCCTTGTCCCCTCTCAGCGTCCCCTTTCCCGCGTTTCCCTCGGCCCGCGCGAGCCGACTCCCGATGCATGATCCCGATCCGTATATAATGTGCATGCGCGGAGATTTGCGAGGCATTAT